TGGAGGTGGTACAGATGATAGTGACTCCAGGGACTGGAGCTGGGGGGGGGGGATTGATACTAAGGTAAATTAACATCTTGATAACAAAGAAATTTATGTATAATTTAATGTGTGCCAAATGACTTTACTTAAACTTTATACACTCCAAATTTAATGAACATACAGGTAAATTTTAGTATTTTTATTTAATCCATAATTGGGAACATTATAACTTATACTATTTTTTGTTGTATTTTTTCAGAAGTGCCTGAAACAGGATGTGCTGATATGTTTTTATGACTCATTATCATGGAATAATATTAATCATAACTTGAAATTGATAAAAAAAGGCATAGGAACAAAATGTTACATGATTTTAGATTTGCGTTCTACATATTATTTTTTTTGTAAATATAACTTTTTGCTTTTCTTTTATGCATAATACATAGTTAGTATATAGAAAAAATATGAAAAAAAAAACAATGTCTGAGAGAAATAGGTTCACCATGCATCGGACACATGCCTTGTTTCGGACAACTTTAATCAATGAACTTGCATCAAACCTGAATGTCTTCTTGTTTTGATTTGTTTCTGTCTTAAAGCCAACGATTTAAACTTTTTCACAACTTAACAAATGGTTATAAAAATACTAATAGAATGGCCTTAAATTGACTTCATATTTGACATCATAAAAGGTGAATCACCGGGATTTTATAATTTTGCAGATTTTTAGATTTATCTTTCTTTCATTAAATGATGCAAATGCCCGTCTTGACTGAATTTTGTTAATGATTGATTATTTGATAGAAAATTCCATGGAATTTCATTTCAGAATGTTCATTATTTTTATGAAGTTGTTTTTCATTAGTATGTTCATTTCACCATGCATCGGAAACAGAGTCACATTGCTTGTATAATGTATGATACCCAATTGACAGCTGTTTTGCAGAAATAAATAAATAAACTCCATTCATTCATTGAAAGTATAAGTAGTTGATATGCGGCAACTAGAATTTGACTCTCTTTGTTATTAAGAATAGATGACGATTCCATGAAAACATGCTTTGGCACAATATAAGATAATAAGCATCATGTAATAAGAATAGTATTCAATCTCGAAAGCCCAATAAAGCGATACAAATTTAGGGCAAAGCAAACACGGACCTCAAAATTTAGAAGTGGGATCAGCTGCAATGGAGGAGTGAGCATCTCCTGTGTGCTCCTTGTCATGATCGGGGAAAAACCGGAAAAATCCGTAAACTGTTCAGTGTATAAATAATGGCCCGATAATTAGTATGTCAGTCAGCATATGACTTAATGATAGACTGACAAGGTCATTGTATCGACCATAAAACTTGCGAAATGATGACTTCAAACGAGACTGTAAATATACTTGTTTCATCAACTTGTTTGTCAATGGCTTGCCTCGTTTTAGAAAATGTTCATACGTAGATCATGGTCTTGCGTATCGAAGCAAATGAGAGACATAAACTCCATATGCAGATGGTAAGGACATATTGCTACATAAGTAAGGGAAGTTGACAATTGAAAAGTTTAAGTCATCACGTTTATCATAAAGCTTGTTGTTATGTTATCATTAACATCTTTTTCTAGTAAAATATCTAAATATGAAACAGATGTGTCAGTCTCTGTGGTATCTTTTATTTCAAGCTCACTGGGATATATCGAGTCAACATATGAATGGAAGTAACTATTGTTAATTGATAATACGTCGTCGATATATCGATCATATATTCTTTGAAGGGAACACAAGAAATAGCATAATCATTCCCTTGCCAAGTGTATGACTGCTGTCGTATTCTTATATATCGATCAATCATTTGATTGATAAATCATATTCTTTCATCGCAGTTTATTTCAAAATAATTTTAGTGCTTGTTTTAAATCTTGTATGAACAACTTTTCAAAATACTGATGTAAATACATACACAAGATTACAGAACGATTACAATGGCTGAGTGCATATTGTCATGCTTAAATTGGTTTACGTCAACGTCTTATTCGATAAACAAAAAATCAAGCCGGACAAAATTACTTAAGCAACAGTCATTGGCTGCTATATGTATTTAGACTACTGAAATCTGATTGATTTAGATGCATTCAACAACTTGTAATGTTATTCTCTGCATAACCAACACACGGGTATCACAACGATAAAGCCACATGCGAATGAATAAATTTGACCTCAGTCAAAACTTGCGTCCGTTACAATAGTTGATTGAAAACAACCAACAAAGGACGAAAAATCTTGCAAGTGCAGAAAATCGACACTATGGATGGTAAAGGGCTCTCTGGGTATCACACAAACAACGAACACCGTTACAGATGTTCCCCTAACGCTCCCCTACTACTTTAAATTTATGGTGCCTCATTTCCTATACGCTTCATTAGATAAGGCAAAATCTTTGTATTGTAAACTATCAAACCTTTTTTTCCCAAAGAATGTCCCATTAATGAAATAAAATAAAGTAAAGTTATAACTTTATTCCCTGAAAATAAGAAATCATAATTCATCAAGTTAAAACTAAAACGTTCATTCAAAAGATCAATTTGTCAAAAGTACCTGGGTGCACAAATAAGAATATTTATAAAACAAAAATAAAATCATTATATCATGGATAAATATATTAATTAACAGTTCATTATATCTAAAAAAAAAAAAGTGAAGACTATAAAAATGAAAACTTTTTCTAATTGTTAGAATACCAATTAAAATTGGTATCTTATGCATGGAACACTGAATATGATTAGTAAAACTGCATATAAAGAATGCTTTGAGAGCTAAGGTAAATTTGAAAAATATATTAAATATTAACATATATGTATATATTTATTCATTACAACTGGATTAAATCTACAATTGGAATCCGCAGCTGCCAGAAACCCCCTAAAGTTATGTTTTCATTTATTTTTTTTTCTGTCTTTATACCTTTTCACTTATCTGCTGGATATCTAAAGTGTTTAAAGAGAGATTTGAATTAACTTTTCGGGAGGGAGAATATTGAACAAGAAATAAACTATTTAATTTTAAGGTCTGTGAAAAATATTAATAAACATGTATATTAACAATGATAAATCTCATAAATCCTATAAACAATACAAAATAGGGAACAGGGCAAAAACACGAATCCCTGGAAGCACAAGACATGGGGTGCTAGAATTTATAAATTTCTCTTGTCGACCTGTTACATCCCAATGAGCACTCTGTATTGATAGAGTAACCTGAAGTCTGCAAAATAAGTACAAAAACGGCCTTGGAATTGATATGAAATATGCAAGTCAAAATTCGACCCAGCGACAATTGGTATTTACCCCAAAAGATCATTATACTAAATTTGGTTTATTGCTGATTCTAAACGAGATACATTTAGTTGAAGACCTTGGTACAGAATTTGTTAGAAGCCTGCTTCGTTTAAAAATTGATCCTACATAGAACATACTCTTGCGTATCAGTTGGGAGACGATTACTCAACATGCAGTTGGTACCGGAATCTGGGCAGTTGTCGATGAAAAGCTAAAGACATCCTATTTTGTCATAAAGTTAAATCGTTATTTGCCACGAAGGAAGTACGCTCCTAAGCATTTGTGTTCCAAAGTAACAGGATTAATATCTTTCAAAATGTGTATTTTTAAATATGTAATCTTTATATTCTTAAAATATTGTATATATACAACCTTACATAATAGTATTAAAAGAAAGTAAGTCAAATGCATTTTAAAGGAGTTTTCTTGAGAACATTTTTTGCAGAAGGATTTCACATAAGAAATGCGTAGATATTTGACTATTTTAATCCTATAGTGACTATTAAACATCTCCTAAATTAAGGTACTCCTTATGTTTTTTACGGACATCAAACGAACAGTAGACATGTGTTTAATGTTTTTGTGTTGAATCTAAAATAGAAGATATAGCGATAATATTCATACTTTTAAAATGGTTTTACTCCTTCACTAAAGTTTCGAAACATATTTAATTCATGTTGAAATTTTTTATCTTTAAGTGCAAAAAGGTCACAATTCATATTTTAGAATTCAAGGATTATTTTTTTCCGGACAATATTCCTTATATTATTCTTGAGAATTTATTTACATACAACATATTATAATGTTTATAATATTGTTTTTTCAGCAGTGATTACAAATCAATATATTTCGGTAGAATACATCCAGTTGCAATATGAAAGAAAATTGATAGTACTTTTTGAAAAAAAAGTCCCCGATATATCTAAATGGGGAATTGAAAACCAAAGATTAGAATTTCATTTCTTAATTAGGAATTTAAAAAAAAATACAAAGACAAGTTGGTAAATAAAGTTTAATAAGATTTGTGCTTTTTTCAGATTTAATTTACACTCGCACACCTTCCGCAAGATATTTAAGAAACAAAAGTATTTAGGAAATTATGTGTCTTGAAACAAGTAAAATTCGAATACATTTACAGGATAATGGGTACATACATGCTTATGAAGCATCTTTTCTTTTCCAGCTTGTAATCATTGTATCAGATTTATCAAACTACAATTTGGACGAAGAAGAACTAAATTTATACATACATGTACATGTACTTGATATGCACTGTATGTATGGATTACAGATAATTAGAATGTTAGAGCAGGTCCGTAGCAACGTTTTCAAAAGTGGGGGGGGGGGCAACTTCCCCAAAAAATCTTACCAAAAAGAAAAAAAAACCCTAAACTGACCAAAAGTTGGGGTGGGGGTGGGGAACTTCCCAAAATTATCTGACAAGCTAAAAAAACTTATTTACTGTCCAAATCCTGGAATATGCCAGTGCTCGACCTTACAACATCAAAACGTGGGGGAGGGGTCACCAGATTTCTGATTTCCACTAGCAGTGTGTTTCTTTTTTTCAAATTTGAATAGGGTAGCATGTATCTCTTTTCTTTTATATTACATGCCTTGCTGTGGGCGTGTTTTGTTGTACATATAATCCATCAAACGTAATTTGTGAACAGGAAAAAAAAAACCCAGAAACATCTTGATCTAAATTTTTATTTTATTAACATCAAATATGTAGAACGCAAATGTAAAATTGATTTACATTTTGTTCAAGAACTTTTTTAATATATAATACATAAAAACTAGTGTATGTATTGAAATTCTGCGGCACCATTTAGAAGTAATTTTCCTATCAAGTGATCTGAAAATAATATATAAAAAAATTACTAAGCCATAAGGAGTCACCTAGGAATAAAATCTTTTAATTGGAACCTCGTTTCAACATTTACTAGGATTTTCAAACTTTCAAAGTTATATTTAAAATTAGATTATTTTTTTTATAACGAGAAATAACTTTGGTTCATGAAATGAATATACATGTACAAAATCTTTTAGGTATTGGATTTTGTGTATTCTTACCATGTTAGCGACTCCAGCTCCAGGAACCTCCGCTATTTGAATCAGACCATCTTCTGTGCCATCTCCAGGGAGAAGCATCTGATCCCATCACATATATGATCAGTACCACCAAAACAAGAAGCAACAAAAGCTGGATGAAGTTCATTGTAATCTGTGATATTTAACCTAACAATAAAAAAAAGAAGTATAGAACATTTTTAATATTGAAATTAGCACAAAAGTATAACATAGCAAAACATGTAATTCTTCTCTTATGAAACATTGAATAACTCAACATTTATGATGTTGTCAAAACTGCACTTTTATGCAATAGAAATAAATTTAGCTGTATGCTTAAAGAGAATTAGTCTTATCAATTTTGAAATTGCATGGGAGCATTTTTCTGCTTTTCATCAACTACAGAAAAAGTTAAAGAGAAAGATATTTGGAATAATTAATAAAAATAAAAGGAAGAAAAAAATGAGTGTAAACAATTTCCAAACACATTATACAAAATACCAATATAAAATTAAATTGAAAAAAAGAAAGAAAAAACTTAATCAAAATTGAAATTCCCTGAAAAAGAATACAAACGATTTGTATGAGAAATAAAAGGCTATGCTTCAGTTAGTTTCTTTAAAATAAAATTTGTATTACAATGTTTTAAATTACAAATTCAGAATTGGAGATTTTGGAACGATACGCAAAAAATTTAGTTAAATCATACGAAGATAATCATTTCTATAAAGTCGAAAAAATTTCACCTACCTTAATGCTTCAGGATAAAGATGGGAGTGTGCATTTTTGCAAGTGAGATGTCTCCTTATATACTGCCAATCTAAAAATGACTAAAACATAGAAGCTTCTAAAAATGTCAAGATATGCAGAGAGTTCCTGCAGATTCACGAAATGACATAGTTGATACTAAATGATGTTGACTTTTTATGTATGAGGTGCACCTTTGTTCCCACTGGTTTCCAATGGTCGACCTTGTAATTAACTTTTAAGATCAAAATCATGATGCATATTAAATGTAGTGGTTTGTTTGGGGCTGTAACTATGTTGCAAGGATCTCTAAATTAATTTCTCATTGCATTCTGTATTTCTTCGTTTTCATTCTTTTTTTTATTATTAAGAAGATGTTTTATCAAAGAGAAACTTAATACGCTATCACGAAGTGTACATTTCTCACGATTTGATTGTTTGTATAATTGCCTCATACAGTTTTCAAGATATAAAGAAAGTGTGACAAACAGACAGAAAGACAGAGAGAGAGACAGCTGCAGACTAGAATATTCTAGTTCATTTTTACTGATAAAAAGATCGTATTTATCTAATAATATTTAACGTAATTTCAACATTCTTTGCCTCATATATATATATATATATATATATATATATATATATATATATATATATATATATATATATATATATATATATATATATATATATATATATATATATATATATATATATATATATTAGGGATGTCAACGAGTACCCGGTTAACCGGGTACTTGATCGAACGTCCGAGTATCGAATACTAAAAATGGTACTCGGTTACTCGGATGTATATTTTTCTTATTTCAAAGTATATATTTTCATCAAAACTTTATCAAAAAAAATAACTTAAATAATGCATACAGTAAATAACATGTCGTCATCTACATCTGTAAAACACGCGTTATCGCCTGTGGCTGGGTATATACGGTAATTAGTGACCAATCACCCAGCTGTTCTCACCTATTGCGGTCCTTAATTTTTGAATGGCATCAAAAATTGCTTTCATTGTACATCGTTTAAGTATGGTCTGTTATCTTCAAATCATTTTTAAATTATTTAGTTAATATACGACAGCGAAATTAGACATGCATAGAAATGCCGTTTCCCACTTCCAAAGTTAGAAATAACGAAAGATTTTTAAAAAAAATGTTGAAAGTCAGTTTGCATAGTAGGTTTAGTGTATACCGTGGAAACAACCAACATATGAAAAAATGTTAGACTAGCGATCTCAACAACGTCCTTCCTTCTCTTTCCCTAGTTTAATCATCACAAATCTGCATAACAGATTGTCCTCCTTTTGCGTTGCTCAAATAGATCCTAAACAAGAACTGTAGACCATTTGTAATTTTTGTGGTATAAATTGTGTCGTTTATGTTCATTTGATAAATAAATTTAGTACCAAAAAATCATTTCCGTTGGAATCTATGTTTATATACGTTTATAAACGTGATAAAAACAGCTTTGGGGTTTGACAGAGCTGTATAACGTGGCTCAAGAAAATTAACACACTTGTATTAATTTTACAGTTTTACCGAGTACCCGGGTACTCGATCGGAAAAATGTTCGAGTAACCGATTATCAAAAATTGACCGATCTGACATCCCTATTTTATATATATATATATATATATATATATATATATATATATATATATATATATATATATATATATATATATATATATATATATATATATATATATATATATATGAAAAGAGGTTTATATTTTTTAAAGTCCTTGTTTTAGTCCTTTTTTGTGTCCGAAAGACTGCAAAATTTGATCACACACTGCACAATAGATTTTATTGTAGGTGAAATTTCGTAATAGCCTTCTATATTCATTATGGATCCTTTGCTAAAATAAAATCGAATCAAGTCTGATAATTTTTAATAAACTACTAGTATCTCATGGAAAAAGTATATCAGATAATATAAAAATACTACGTCTCTTCTGTACAAAGTCACATTATCAGTTTTAAAGCAATAATTGCTTTGAAAAGTTGCAATTAATTATGGAAAATCCTGATCTTGATGTTAAGTACAAAGGTGTGTTTACTGTAATGCTCAAACATCTTCATTATCAAAAATTAATAGTAACTGGCCTTAAGCATGTCACATTATGAAATGACAACAATGAATTTGCAATATGCAGTATTGCAATTTTGAAAGTTCATACGTTAAAGCAAGCACAGACATGCAGTATATAAAGAGATATGTCACTTTTGTCAAACACAACCATTTTCCTTAGAAGTAGCAAGGTAGGTACTTCTTCATAATTCTTTTTACTTAGTTATAATTCCCCCTTTTTAAACTTTACAAAAGTCGAGAACAAATATATTTTCCCATAAACCCAGCAATACAGCCTATTTGCTGAAAATTCACCTTTAATAAATAAATGTTAAAAAAAAATTGGAGAATAACCTTCTTGATGTCAGTTTTAACAAAGTTTTTGTATAAAAATCTCCAATATTGCTCGGAAATCGAAATATGCTCAATTTTTTTCTCATCCTGTCTTTGTTTACGGTGTAAATAAAATACGTATGAAACGTGGCTTCTTTTATCAAACATGAGAAGACAATGTGTACCAGAATGTTGTTAATTTGAAGAGAGGTCCGTTTTGTAAGAAAATTGTATAACAAGTACAAATTAGTTCAAAATACATGTTGAAAATGATTTTTTCCCTAGAAATCTAGTCTTCAAGTCTACAATGAACTTCATCCAGCTTTTGTTGCTTCTTGTTCTGGTGGTACTTACCATATATGTGATGGGATCAGATGCTTCTCCCTGGAGATGGCACAGAAGATGGTCTGATTCCAGCAGCGGTGGTTCCTGGAGCTGGAGTCGTTGATATCGAGGTAAACTAACATAAAAATTTAATTCATGTCAATGTACAATAGCATGCAAACATTGGTGAATAAACAATGCATTTTTAAAAATTATTTAGTAGGGAAAACAATATTGCAAAATATAGTTTAAAATTTTGATTTTTATTTCATTATTGCAATATTTACTGAGGACATTCTATTTGGTTTATTTATGCATTTTTTCTTCCAAAATCTTTTTTTTCAGAATGCTCTGCAAAGGAAATGGTGTCAAATCCACATGTCTCTGAATTCGGCCAAAATTGTGAAAAAAGTGAAAATAACTGAACAAAATGTAAAGTAATTTTGCATTTGCGTTCTACATGCATATTAGACAGGGGAAAAAATAAATGTATTGAATCAATGTTTCTTTTTGTTGAATCCCAAAAACGCGTTATTAGTTGCATGAAATACAAGATATTCCAGAAAAAATGGATTACAACGAATTTAATGAAAGACCCCTAATCAATTTGACGTTAATTATGAATATATAACTTTCACAATGGTGTTCAATTCGTAGGTTGATTAATTTGACCTTAATTATGAATATATATTTACATTTGCAAATGTTTTCTTTTATCTAACACTATTAAAAGCAATACGTACCTATATCCGTATAAACACGGGTTCCTCGCGTCATAAACGTTCGACGTAATTTCTCAGTGACGTCATAAAGGGTCGACGCGCAATCAATGGATTAAATACGTGCCGTTGAGTTTGTAAAATAAAACATTTCACGTGTTAAAAATTATAATCAGGAAAAACATAAAATATGAATTAGCATAAATGTAAATATAAGTAATAATGTATCATTTTTAAACATTTATCGGAGTATAAATACGGGTTGGTACGAGATCAAATTTACGAAGGGCTTTATGGAATTTGATCTCGTGACCAACCCGTATTTATATCCCGAAAGATGTTTAAAAATTATACATTATTTCTTGAATAACTTTCACAGTGATGTTCAATTCATAGCTTGACCAAAAAGTATCAAGTATTAAGAAATGAGGTTGGAGTGTACAAATCCTGCTTTTTATTTGTACAGATTAATGTTAAGCACGTTCTTTGTAATTTTTAAAGTATTCAAGTTGGTAACTTGGTGATTTCCGAGCATTAAACATAGTTTTTCTGTTAACTTGCTTTTTCTCTGATCTCTTTGCCTGTGTGAGATAGTTGCTTATCACAATTCTTTATATCAAGTTTAACAAAGCTTTGCAAAATAGAACTGGTATTTACATGCATTTTATTGTTCATGGCCGAAGGATATGAAGGACATAATATGTTCTACTTCTGATTTAGTACTACATATATATAGGGGCATTTGCTGTTGAAATATGGAGATAACGAACGGTAACTCAGACGTAACTCAATGTCCCTTGAAACAATACAAATTTGGAGCAGAGCACACATAGAGGTGGGATCAGGTGCTATGGAGGAGGAAGCATACCCTGTTGACCGGTCACACCCGCCGTCATGATCAGACAAACGGAAAAATCCGTAGACAATCAGTGTGAAAATAATGGCCTAACAATTTATATGAAAAACGTCAGTCATCATTTGATTAAATGATTAGCCTGTATTTGCTGACAAGGTCATTGTATCAACCATAGAATTTGTAAAATGTTGACTTTAAACGAAACTGTTAATATTCTTGTTTCATCAACTTATTTATCAATAGCTTGCCTCGTTTGAGAAATTGTTCGTACGATTTTTTTTTATTGTATTGTATTACTAGTATTATGTATTGTTTTTCAACTTTTTCTTAATTTTTTGGAAAATGATATATTCCTAGGTGAAGATAATTAATATTTTGTGTACCTATTTAAAAACAGAGTAAAACTGACGGATGATCTACCTGAGCAAGAACAAGCATAACGCGTGGTCAGGTAAACATCCCATCTCAAGCCATTAAAAAGCACAAGTACTGGCCTGTCAATGAAATTAGAAACTATTGTTTCTAGTGGAAAAGGTGAAAGTGACAAACTAGAGGTCAATCTCAAGAAAAATCTACAGAAAATACAGATATGTGAACATAAAACACTGATTCCCGGAAATTCCAAAGGTGTGATCAGGTGCCTAGGAGAAGTAAGCGTCCCTTGTCGACCCGTCACATTCGCCGTTAGCCTTATGTATTGATCAGGTAGATATATTTAGTGTAAAAACGAGGGCCTAACAACTGGTATGAAATACGTCAGTCAAAAAACGACTCAGTGATTGAATTAGGTTGATTTTAGGGAAGTTAAAGTAAATTTAGGGCTTTAATTTGAAAGCGATTTTAAATAGAATATTTTGAGAAGTTGTTTGTAGGTCAATTTATTATAGTTTGCACATTTAATTTTACATTATACAATCCATCTGAGCATCTTAAGGTAACAAACAGTGAAATAAAAATCCTCAAATCAGTTCAGTATCACAATATCACTTTTACATATCTATTTTAAAGATACAAGACTAGTATATCTATATCAAGCAATTTCAAGGAGCTTTGCCATTATCTATCCATAATTCAGGATGGAATTCTTTTTTCATTTTCAATCAGATGCATCAAATAACAATAAATAAGTAAAGATACAAAATAAATGTACAGAAAAAAAATATCTGGGTCATGTTGCCTGTTTATATACATAATGGCACTAAAATTTCTGATAAACATTGGAATGTTAACAAATGTTAATGCATGCAAATAATCAGTGCAAGTTCACGGCAAGAAATTGTCGAGGTTAAGTATCATTGACATTGGATGTGTAAGGTGCACCTGTGCGTGGAGGTCATACCTTCTAATCAAACGTTTAGTGGCGAATATATCATACATGAGTATTATATTTAAATATTGTTTTGATAAATGACAGCTCATGTGTTATGTCGACCTAAGGATTTATTCAATATATCATTAAGTTGAATGTTGACTGACGTTTTTCATTCAAATTGTTATTATTATAATTTTTATACTGAATTGTCTGCGTATTTTTCCGTTTGCCCGATCGTTTCCCTGATTTAAACAGAGGGCTTACAGTAGGCGTGGCCAGTCGACAGGGATGCTTACTTTTTTTTTAAGCAAGTTATCCCAATTCTGGTGTTCCCAGGGGTCTTTGTGTTAGCCCTATTCACGATCTGAGCTGTTTACAGGATTTTTGAGATTTGTGAGATCGATAATTATTTGTTACCTTCACCTTTTCACTTTATCAGATAGCAATGCAGAAGAATTATTTTCGAAATGTTCTAAGTGTATTTAGAAAAGAGCTTGAATCAAGATACTAACTTCACATTTACGTTTGTATAAAAATTATACGAGTACATTTCTTAATATAAATATGGGAATATAAAAAAGTTATTCTAGGTTACTCCATAGGACGGTTACATTAGAATATTGTAATTTAAGGAAAAGGATTCATATGCACAGTCCTTGCTTTAAAAAAAAAATAAAAGTCGCGTATTCATTAAAAAGCTGTCTTCTACCGTTTCTCCGTTTATTGTGATAGTTTTAAACCACTTCTCTGGTATTATATACATTTAAAGGAAACTTATTTAGGATTAAATGGAAGATGTCATTTGAAAAAAAATATTCAGATACCTTTTTGTAAAGCTATATAATCACTCATTGTGTGGAGAGGTAACAATTGTGAAATAATTCTCACACAATATTAATTTGGTAATTACTGAAAGATATCAGAAGATAAATTGTGCATGTTAACTTATTCATTGAATGGATTGAAAAGTTACCCCAATTATACGAGTATTACTGGGGGTTTAAATTCAACATCACTGAGACAGTAGAATATCTAGAATTACATTGTATATAAATTCGTTATCAGATATGATATGACTATCCCGTTATATAATTGGACTGTTTAATACATGTATACAGTTGGTCTTCTATATCAAGCATATAGAATGCATACATGTATAAACAGTAGCATGAAATACAAGGATGATACGTTATAAGGGGGTTCATTGCATTCACATGCCTAGTAGTCAAGATGTCGTGTGTTCGCTTCGTGATCACCCCTCCCCGAAATGCCAGTGGCGGGATCAGCTGCCTAGGAGTAGCAAACATATAATAAAAGTAACAATCTAAATAATAATAACAATAAAAGCTATAAAGTTCGATTTTAAAAATGTGATCTATCATAAGAATCTTCATGTATGAATGAAAAAGATAACGAATAATGTTCGACCTCAAAAAATTTCAAAAAGTTTAGAGACTTGAAATTCATGATCAGTAAATATTGCTTTTTACTATGACATGAAAAGAATGTTATGTTAGAGATACTAAATTGTTAAACCTGTCTACGACTCTTTGGGACAACCCCCGTAATTTTAGAGTCAACTCCATGAAAGAATTTAATTTGATTAGTACAAAATGACGTGTTAAATACAGATATATTATTTTTTAATTCAGGAAGTTTTTGATAATTGATAGAATGTATATCGAATGATAGATGAGTCAAGTTTGAGAAGCACAGAATATTTTCAATTTATTGAACATTGTTAAGTCTTTTTATTGCTAGTTAAGTTGGTTAAGGCAACATTAATGCAAAGCCTCTAAACACAATTTCTTGAATAATACCAACAGACAGATAAATTTTTATGCCCTCCATTTATCTTATGCCAGACAAATGCCTGTACAGTAAAGAATGAGTGGAAACCAGTTCCATCTTGGTCCCGCAGCTTCGTTAATTTTTTACTTCCATAAAACACCAAGACATGCTTTGATGAATAATGTCATTTATTAATGACGAAGATAAACAACTAATTACAAATAAACTACCTTAACTACTAGGGAGATCCCAGATAAACGTAAAAGGACTTATTGAGCAGCTGATATCACACAGGCAGAGGGATCTCCCTAAAGTCTAAGTAAGACATGATTATCACATTTATAAGATGGGGGATCACCAGGTAACATATACATGTATATACAAACTAGTCCACAACAATGGCAGGGGGATCTCCCTGGGATATGAAAAACCAAAACAATGTAAAAATTAAGGTGGCATATACAAACATTTCGCCGCAAAACAGCTTGAGTAAAAATTAAGGCGGTATGTATAAGAAATGTTTACAAAATTTGGTGTATACAATGGCAAGATAAAATGTTATATAAAAATTCAAAACAAATCTCTGGTACACACAGTTACATCACAATTACAAGACAATTCTAAATGTATCAAGGTGGGTATGAAGGGGATGGTGGAGGGTTAATTTTCACACAATCAATCTTGCTGTTTACATAAAAGCGTCCTTCACATACCAGGGTAAAAACAAAAGTGACCTCCACGTGATCATAATCCTGCAATTTCATTGGTTATTGATGAGGTACAAGAACAAATATTTCTACAAATAGATATAGATGAACCCTCA